AGTGAATTTGCTCTGTAAATCTTCACCCAAATCACAATAAATAAAATTAAATTAAAAAAAAAAAAAAAAAAAAGACTTACCGATCAATTACAGTAATATACCTGGGATAGTAAATGGACTAATGAGAAAGTTACTGATTGTTCCAACCTGCTAAAAGACACATTTTCCCACTAGTAAAATAAAATACCACTCCTCAGAAGGAAGGTTGGGCAATCTACTTCCATAGTGATACTGCCTCAGAAACCCAAGGAGGGGTCGCCATGAGTCAGGTCCAACTTGATGCCACGTTAACAACAACAACAACAACAACAAAATTACTGTAAAATCTTGGAATATTGTGTGATGGGTATGTTAAGATATGGTCATACTGTTTGGTCCATTAAAGATAAAACTAAACCACTTATATAAGGATGGCTGAAGGTGGGTCTCACTTGGAAGGTGAAACCATTTGCTGTGCCAATCACCTAGCAATGGGACTACTTTGGGAGGGGGAGGAGGGCAAGTGGGGCACTAGAAAGGGCTGATGGCAGATGGATCTTAGCTCAAAGCAAGGAATACCAGACAGATATTTACTTGTGCTTTACTGACTATGCAAAAGCATTCGATTGTGTGGATCATAACAAATTATGGGTAACATTAAGAACGGGAATTCCAGAACACTTAATTGTGCTCATGAGGAACTTGCACATAGACCAGGAGGCTGTCGTTCAAACAGAACAAGGGGATACTGCATAGTCTAAAATCAAGAAGGTAGTGCATCAGGGTTTTATCCTTTCACCATACTTATTCAATCTGTATGCCGAACAAAAAACGAGAAGCTGGACTATATGAAGAACGTGGCATCAGGATTGGAGGAAGACTCATTAACAACCTATGTTATGCAGATGACACAACTTTCTCGCTGAAAGTGAGGATGTCTTGAAACAATGATGAAGACTGAAGACTATGGTCTGCAGTATGGATTACACCTCAATATAAAGAAAAAAAAGTTCTCACAAAAGGACCAATAAGCAGCATCATAATAAATGGAGAAAAGACTGAAGTTGTCAAATATTTCATATTACTTGGTTCTACAATCAACACTAATGGAAGCAGCAGTCAAGATATCAGACCTTGTATAGCATTGTGCAAATCTGCTGCAAAGGATCTCTTTCAAGTGCTGAAGAGCAAGATGTTTCCTTGAAGGCTAATGTGCACTTGATGCAAGCCATGGTATTTTTAATCACCTCATATTCATGTGACAGTTGGACAATGAAAAAGGAAGACTGAAGAAGAGTTGATGCTTTTGAGTTACGGTGCTGGTGAAGAATGCTGAAAGCACCATGGACTGCTAAAAGAACTAACAAATCTGTCCTAGAAGTGCAGCCAGAATGCTCGTTGGAAGTGAGAACAGCCAAATTTCATCTCACCTATTTTGGTCATGTTTTAAGAAAGGATCATTCCCTGGAGAGGGATATCATGCATGGCAAAGTGGAGGGACAACAAAGGAGGGCAAGGCCCTCAACGAGACAGACTGACACAGTGGCTACAATGATGGGCTCAGGTATAGCAAAGATCGTGGGTCTGGCATAGGACCGGGCAGTGTTTCATTCTGCTGTACGTGAGGTCGCTATGAGTCAGAGACGACTTGAGGCACCTAACAACAACAGCAACATTTTGAAGGAACAAGTCAAAAATGAGAGGTTAAATCAAAATTCTAAATCTTTCAAATACACACTCTCGTGGAAATATTAAATATTCCGCAGAAAATTTCTACAGATTATAGAAATTTAGAAATCCTATTAAAATATGTTGTTGTTATGTGCCGTCGAGTCGGACCCGACTCATAGAGAACCCTCCTTGGGTTTCCGAGGCAGTATCACTACGGAAGTAGATTGCCCCATCTTCCTTCCGAGGAGTAGCTGGTGGGTTTGAACCGCCAGCCTTCTGGTTAGCAGTCAAGTGCCTTAGCCACTATGCTACCAGAGCTCCCTATTAAAGTATAGATTTTTTAAAAATCTAGAAACAATAAAACAAACATTTTAATATAGAAATGTGTCACTTAACCACCATTTTGGGGAAATATCTCATCCATTTGGGGGAACTACGACAAAGAGTCTCTATTCACCTTGAGCAACAGAGGAAGGAGAGGCAAGAATAGGAGAATGATATGGACTATGTGGTTAACTGGCTCCATGAACGAATGCCTCCTTTGTCATGAGACCAGAAGAACTGTATGGTGCCTGACCATACAAACTGACTTCCATTACTGAACACTTTGG